CCCCTCGTCGCGGAATCACCTGGTACAGGAAGTTGAGCCTCTGGAAAGCCTCGCGGTCCTTCACCGGCCCCGCCATCCGCCAAGCCGCAGCGCCGCGAGTGAGACCACCCGAGGCCCCGCCCCCCACACAGCCCCGCCCCGAGCGTCCGCGCAAGGCCTCCTAGGAAGTGCAGTCCCTGGGCCCGCGCGCCGCTCTTCTGCGACTCTTTACTCTGGCGCCACCGCGCGGCTGCACAGACCCACCTCCTGCCATCCAAGCCCACGGTCCCTTGATGAGTTTTGGGTTTCTTCAGTCTTCCTCAAGCCTCTGATCAGTTTATATTACGTACAGACTGGAAAGCCTAGAGAAGCAGTAGATGATCTTAAATCTGCTAAACATTTCTAGGACAGAAGACTGATGTCCTTATGCAGATAGCTTGGGGAGAGGGTTATGTGCAATTTATACCCAGCTAGGCCTTCTGCCCTACTCTCCTGAAGCCAAAAGACAGATGCCTGCAAGATCTAAAGAAATGACACCCGAAAATAGCACTGGTGCCAGCGAGGGGGAAAGTGGGAAGGGTCATGAGGGTAATGGAAGAAGGGAAGAAGGTTCCTGGTTCTCAAAAAGCACAGCTTAACATTTTCCCACTTACTAAAGAAACACATTTCCTGTTATGCAGTGCTGTACGCACAGTAGGTGATCTTTACTTGACGAGTGAATGGTATCTAATTCCTAAAGTATAGCACAGAAACCTGTCAATAGCATCTTCTGTCCCTGAAATGTTACACTACCCCCCACAGACATCCACTTCACATTACCTCCTCTGACCTCTGTCTCCCATTTGTTCTGTCTGGCATCTTGTGACTCAGTTAATGACTATCAGTTCCTGAGATTAGAAGCACAGGGCTGAGAGCTGGAAGAGCAGAACATAATGAACCCTAAAATGTCAGGTTGGGGCAGGAAACCAGGTTTCTAGCTGGGAGGAAGAAAATGGCTGGAACCACCTCTAGCAATAGTTTTATAAGGGTCCACAAACTCAAATGAGACATACTTAAATTGTAAATGCTCAGGCCCACCCCAGACCTTGATCAACCATTGAGAGTGAAACCCAGAAACATTTTTAACTCCCAGTGATTCCAAATAAAGCCATCACCAAATGACCACACAGCACAGAGATCACTTCAGTGGATCCTTTGTTCCATATTATTTTTACCAACCAAAGTATCTTGCCACAAAGAACCACAGTCAAGGCACAAAGGTAAGAGGAAGAGATTCTGGACAAAGTCCTGTTGAGGTGATGGGAGGAACTGAAATGCCCTCAGTAAACTGCAGTTTCTTGTTTCAGTCTTCCGTGAAGATGACCAAAACAGGAGATAATCCAAATCATTTTAGTTTGGTTTGGCATGCATTGCTTTACCCTTTATGACAACATATGTACCCTATAGTTGTTTATTTTGGCCTAACATTAAAATGATTTACATTCTCTGAAAAGGGAAATGACAAAGGGTGAGGGATGGCAACAAACAAGCAAAAGTCTGGCTCTTGTGAACACCAGTTCTAGGCTAGATGCACAGAGGCCAAAAAGAGTTGCCTATCTGGCCCTTCCCTATACACACCACTCTCTTCTACCCTGTTCTCAGGGTGAGAAAGACTCCATTGTCTTTCTTTCTGGCTTGGACACCTTGGCCAGGTAACAAGGCTGACAATTTGGGAGTAGCTACTTAGTAACATCTTTAAGGCCAGGGGTTTGGATAGAAATACCCTTCTCTTTCCTCTAATACCTGACTCTTCTTTCCACATTCCCTTGGGAAAACAGTGAAAGGATACATGTGTTTTGTAGGATCTCTTCCACCTTGTCTCTGGAGAGGAGCAAGGTGACTGTCTTCTTAGAGACAACCAACTATTAGAGGCAGGCAATAAGCCAACTCTCCCCAAGGCTGAGGCAGGGACCTGGGTGCTCCTCTGCTTTCTTCTCACCCTCTTCTTCTCCTCATGTTGCTACCTCTGGCCAATCCTACTCACAATGGAAACCTTCCCCTGGGAGTAGAAAACCAAATAAACCTCCTTCCCCTTTGTTAGTCCTTAGGAATCCATTCCTTTAACTCCCTTCCCTGACCTTCCTTCTAACTTTATCGATGCACATTCTCTGCCCTCACCAAAACTCAACTTCTAGACCCATGAGAGCAACCATCATTCATCTTTCTTCCATCTAGAGGTACACAGACCCCTGTGATCTAACTCTAGAAACAAGAGTATTCTGGATTAGAAAAAAACCCTAAAAAGATGAACGGGGGTTTCTGTTTTATCCTCCAGTTTGAGCAAGTCAGAACTTCTCACAGATTTTGTTTCTGGAAAAGCCTCTCCCTCCTTCCTAACCCATCCTTGTGCAATACAAAACCTGATGGACTTCAGAGGAGACAATCTCCTAGGAACCAGCTCCCCATCCTGACAGAAGGGAGACACAGCTGTGCTCTCTCATCACAGCCCAGTCCTATCTACTCCTCCACACAAACCATCCTCAAAACCGAGGTGTTTCTCCAAGATGATTCAGGACTAGAACCAGGCATACATGAAGACGTTCCAGCAGGACACAGGAAGGAAGGCCCATAGCACTTGACCCTGCCTCAACCTAGTTATTCCCACATCCCAAGCTGTCACTCCCAATCTGTTGGGGGCCTGATGGTAAGTGGTGCAGCATTCTTCCGACCAGCCCGGATGCCTGGGTAGAAGAGAGGCCAAAGTTTCTCAGTAAAAGTATCAGTGAAGGTGTAGATATGAGAGCGATCTGTGACATTGTAAAAAGACAGTGTGCCGGCCTCATAGTCTAGGAAGATGCCTACTCGCTTGGGTTTCACCTTGATGTGCAAAGGGGTAAAAGGTGTGGTGGTGGCTGCATATTTGTCCCCATTCCACAACCGCACCCGCCAGTAGCCAGTCTCAGGCAGTGGAGTCAACTCGCCCTTGCGGCTCACAGAGTCCCGGCACACACCCACTGCCCAGTGGGTCTTGTCGCCCACCTCCACCTCCCAGTAGTGTCGACCTGAAGTGAAACCCTCAGTAGCCAGGACACAAGGGTAGAAGGTGAAACGCCTTGGCGTGTCGGGGAGATCCCGGAGTCTTGTCTCCACAAACTTGACGCTTTTACGATCCTCTGACAGGACTAGGTTAGGATGAGCAGTCTCAGGGTCCAAGGTCACATCCGCTGGCGGGAGAAGCCAGAGTAGGGAGCTAGATGAGGATGGGAATAGCTAGACGTCCCTGCCTTACTTTCCCAGACTGCCTTTGCAGAGCCTGGTCCTTTAAAGGTTCCCAGAATACCATGGTTTGGTTAACTTTCTTAATCCACGGTGTCACCTAAGGGAGGGGAGGGAACAATATCTCACTTTTTACCCTGATCCTACAATAAACAGATCTCTTTACTCTACAGGAGCTGGCAGTCTAACTTCCCACCTGGACCTCTCTCCCTCTGACATCATCATTTATCTGTGTGAAATACAGCCAGAAATAATGGAAAGTGTTAAGAAGGATACAGAGCAAGACAGCATATGGTCTATGGACAGAGTGACCAGGTGTGTTTTCCTGGAACATGCCTGGATTATGACTATTTTTCCTGTATTTTAATATTATATTAGTGACACTCCCTTTCACTCTCAAGATTGTCCCAGTTTAGATGGTAAACTATATAGTCACACTACCTAATGACTGAGGCAAATTATTTAACTTTGTATGTTTCTATTTAGAAAAGTGTGGATTTTAGAGAACTCCTAAGCCTTCTTCTCACCCAAGTTCTGTGACTCAGGGTGACACTGAAAGCCAGGGGTGGGTGTGGGGGTGAGTATGGGCAAGAAAACTGAGACACAGGCTAACCAAAGCCCATATAAGGTAGGACCTAAAGGCTTTCTTCTCTCTGGTGATTCCCTCTGCTAATTTCCTTTTGGGGATAACTCACCAATTAGCTGTTTAAGAATTTTCCTTAGGGCAAAGTACTGTCGAGGGAAATTGCTGAAGTTCTTTTCCAGTTCTATGGATACTGAAGTCACCTCCATGGTCTTCACCTTCTCACATCTAGGAGGGATAGGAAGGTGGGGGAAGAAAGGACAGGGTCAGGGGGGAAGCTCCAGCCAAGTGAGTATTCAGATGTTGCATCTTTAGGGAGAAACTAATATTCTCCATTTCTCTCTTTTTGTCTCCTCCTTGAAGTCAAGAGTTCACATATTTCTTTCTTCTATTAATCTAAGGAGAGCCATATGATCCCCTGGACAGATTCTTATCTTGAGAATGAGCCTCAGAACTTTGTAGGGGCATTCTTATCATTCATGCAAATGAATAATCACCCTCCCTGCTCTCCCAATTCCTTTCTCCTGCCATTTTGTTTGGAAACAATTCCACCTGCAAACACAAATAGAATGTTGTTCTACCTTATCATCCTCCTTGCCAACAAGTACTGATGCTCAAAGAGGAAAAGCTAAAGGATTATTACTCCCAATAATTTGTTCTTTACCTAGCTTCATGGGTTCAATTAATCTTCTCCTATACCCTGCACAGACACTGCATAACTTTCCCATCCTTACTCCAACTCCTTACTGTGCCTCTAGTCTCAGTCAAAGCCTAACTCACTCAAAGAGATACAAGAATCACTTACTTTTCCAGGGTACTTTTGACATCCTAGAAGGAAGGAGAAAAGAAAGGAATATTGGTCCTAGTATTCAATGGTCCTGAAGGCAAAAGGTTCCCCCTCCTCCCAAAAGTTTCACATCTATAAAATAGGCATAGGGCAAACTGAGTGTCACAATGCAAGAGAAAGAGCTCTGGACGAATCTAAGTACATCTCTCCCAACCTAATCACCACTTCTGATTGTTGGTCATCATGAAGCTTGGTAATTTGTATCACTTACAAATGGTTTCTTATGTGTTTGTCTTTGCTCCTCAAGGACACTGGGAGCTCTCTACCAGGGACAGGGATTGTGTCTGCTCTTTACTCTGTCCCCCAAGTACCAACCACATACCTCAGTCTCCTTGAGGATCAGTACAGATAGTTCCAGAGTGGTGACATAGGAACAAATCACACTTTCCCGTTGTGGTTTGGTATCCTCTTTCTGGCATTGGTTAATAATTAATGACTGTGGCCAATCCTGATTTGTGAATACTTGGGGTCCAGAAAACAAAGAAGACAAATCTCTGTCCCATAAGAATTTCCCAGTTTAATGTGGAAGGCAAAACACACATACATGAAAGGACATAGGAATAAATACCAAGCAATATATGAC